AACCGACTCCACGGCACTTAACAACAACTAGTTGACATATGCTAATGATAGTGTGGAGCAGAAAGGAAGTATTCGGTTAGTTGTTTACTAATCATCTCATCTGTGGCATCTCCCTAGACTCCTACAGTTCCACTGCGGCTCTCCTATGCCTCCCTTCAAACTACACGCCAACTTTAGCTGAAAACTTAACTTACATGGTTCACAGAGTTCGTCAACATTGACCACCCAGATTCTACAAAAGCCAGAAATGGACTGAATCTACTTTTAGAAGCCCCACACCAAACACATAGCAATTCACAAGTAGGCCCTTAACAAGACTGATTTTTGCAGCTTACGCGTCCCACCCGTGCCTTCTCTATATTCACCAGAAAAAGTGAAAATTGGTAACTGAAATTTGGTAACCATAACTGCATACTTGAAATTCAAATTCAGCCCTCAGGTTAATTCTGTGCTCTACTGTCTTTTGGGACATATTGGTTAACGTATTTCTCTTCCTGGTAGGGTGCTGTTTAAGATCAGATCTGGACTGTGAACCCTAAAATCAGCATTTCAAATCTACACAGAATTGCTATGAGTTGGAACTAACTCAATGGCACTTAACACCAAGAATGGAGTCCTGGTGTGGCGCTGTAGAAAAAGCGCTGGATTGGTTAACTGCAAGGCTGATGGTTCAAACCCACCAGTCACTATCCAGAATACGCTTCCAATATTCAATATAAAGAATACGACACTGACATGAGATTCTCCAAATTACCATCTGAATCATCAAATTAGTAATTTGTATAATTAAATCCATTATCCTGGATTTAAAACAACCGAGCTATTTGGAGCGCTGTTGGGTCTTCCCCTACCTTTGCTCACATGGCCATCATTTGTGAGGCTAGAACTTTGGGATTAGTATTTTTGGACCATCCACATTAGAAATGGGTCCATGTGAAATGTTTATAGACTTAACTGCTATCATTTAATCACATTAAAATGAATGAATTTTACGTATAATGGCCTGAAAATCTAGTCCAATTTCTAACGACATTATATGGGAAGCTATTCTGAACTCTAACTTTAGATACCTAGCCAGGATGAAGGAGTCTTGGTGAGGCTCTAAAGGATAAGCTCTGGACTGCTAACCGAAGTTGGCGATTCAAACTCACCAGCCATTCCTTGGAACCCTAAAGCGGGTCACTCCGAGTCAGCACTGACTGGACAGCACAAGAAGGCAGGTTGAAAGTGAGATTGCATGCTTCCCATAGAGCACATGGGTATTACTTTTCCTTCTGTTAACACTGCAAGCAATGCAAACACAAACAGTATGATCCAAAGTGAAGACATCACAATGCCAACCACGTCTCTCTCAAATCCTTACCACACACATTAAAATCCACTCACATTTACTCATTTACTAACCATTATAATATTATGCCATTATTGCATACCCAGCGCCATGGCTCCATATGATCAGCACTGGACTGTAAACCACAAGGCCTACAGTTTGACCCACCAGCTGCTCCACCAGAGAAAAGATGAGGCTTTCAGCTCCCAGCAAAATTTAAAGCCTTGGAAACACTATAGAGTTGCTGTGAGTCGGAACCAACTCAATGCTCCTTAATAAAAAAGCAGGACCTAAGTGGTCACATGATCTACGCAGCTGAAACACCTAGCCACTCACAACTAGGTGAGGTTCTATTGTGCATTTCTGTATGCATAAAGCCAGGACAGCTGTTCTTAATGTCATGCAAGTCTCCCGTTGTTGGGAAGCACATTTCCTGCTAATCAACTACCCACTGATTCTCCATCAAAGACATCCAACAGTGTATACTGATCTCAATTCCACAAACCTAGCAACAAAGTCAGACTTCAAGGGTAGACATACCATCCTCAAAATGGACACTAAGTGACTACACGACCCAGAACACTTGTGGGTTCTGTGTACAGGGTACCATGCTTTGCTTTGACTGTATCACTTGCCAAACACAGGGCTAGCCTGCAAAACTGTGGCCACTGAGAGAGACACAAGTCTACAAGCAACTGTCAGCATTTTTCTTTATGCATTTTTAGTTGTAAAAAAATGCACTGCTTTTGCAGGGGGGGAAACCTGCAGAAGTTCACAAATAAACCCACACAAAAATTCAACTGCTAAGTTCTGTTAAAAAGTTGATTGCTCTACAATTGTTAGAATAAAAAAGTATACTTTTCATTTTAGATAGCCAGTTAGTCAGAGGCCATGTATCTTATTCGTAGTCATTACAACATCAGTCTTATTAACTCAACTCTGTACTGACCCTACCATTTCATAAACAATAAACATCAATAGGGAGAAGTTAGAGATCAAATATGAATTAAGAAGCTGAACTCACAAATACTTAACTAAATTACTGAATATACTGATTAGCACTCCCACCTTCTTGGAGTTTACAGTCACACAGTAAGCAGAGCTATCTACTACCATCTACACTGAAACAATATGAAAATCCAGAGGTGAGAACACAGAGCTCCCCCCTCTTCCCCTTAAGGCCAATCCTCCAAACTTCTTCAGATTGTGTGAAATGTCAAGTTTCTAAAAAGGTTCTAACTTAAATTACTGTAGAACTATGCGTGCAAGCTAGTGTCAATTATGCCAATAGAAAATTTTTTCAATAAATCCTGATTTAAAAAAAAAAACAAAAAACACCAGGCTTGAGCTGTCCACTAAGAATGACAATTGTCCATTCGTATCAGAAGCACTCTGCTGAAAAACCTTTGTCATCACATAAGTAGGAAGTCAGGCACTAACTGAGCTTTCTCTCCTCCCTACAGATCTGAACAATGCTGTGCAATCTGAACTGAGGGAGGTGGGTGAAAAGGGTATGCGGGGGAGAACCACTACGGCAAGTAAGAAAGTAATTCCACACATAAAGACATTCATCTAATTTATATTTTATTGCATTATGAAAATAATACATTTATTTGGCAAAGTAATCTAGGCTCCAAGTTAAAATAAAGTTCTGAAGAAAGTGTAGTAAGTATTTTTTAAATGTGAAGTATTAGATGTATTCTAACCAATACATACTAGCATTCTTATTAGGCCAATAATCCAGTAAACCTAATTTTAATAATCCCATATGAAATTACAAGGTGTTTTTGCATTCATCCATTTTATGATTAGCACAAATTCCAAGAGAACTGAGCTTCATTTTATCAAAAACCAATGTATTTACGAAACTCCTGTTGAGAAGACAATTTGAAACACTACCCAAAATCTTTATTTCCTTTGGTTCTACAAGTTGCAAAATTCATCCTTACCACAGTTACATTTTCATAATCAAACATATTAGCAGCATTAGATTCTGCCCAAGGACCTTTATAAGTAAACTAGTATATTACAATCACATTATTTGAAAAATTGCTGTCTGATTTTACAAATGCAAAAATGCATAAACACATGCCTATCTACACCAGCAAAACAAAACTGTCTTGAACCTCGATGCTCTAACAGGCTGCATTTTCTGGCCCAGGATTTCTGGGATGCCTTTTTAAAACAAAAAGATTATGATTCCAACTGGCAACTCTGCTGTTCAGCTGACACTTTTGAATGGTAGAGTTTAAATAAATCCTAATACAATTAAACTTATCTAATAATTAACATTTAAGATGGCATTTTCACTGCTTATTCTGTTGTTATATTTTCAGAATTGAAAAGATATTATTTTCAAAAGCATACTAGGACAATTTGTTTTCACTTAAAAAAAAAAAAAAAAGGCGCTAAAAACAGTAACATATTCTCATTTTCCTTGTCAACACCTTCAAATTATTTTTGTATTTTGCTTTGGGTTCGGAGTCTAAGAGGTCAAGGCCCCCCCAAAATAAAATATTCTTTTTAATCACTGAGGTCCTTGTTCTTCATTTAGATCTTTTATAGACTTTGCTTGATGTGTATTACAAGAAGTGTGTCTAAAATTTGACTTTCAAAAATTCACACATGGATCAGTCACTAATGGAACTGACATTTTCATTACGCAAAGTCTATATGTAAGTGCACCTATGCATACTTGAAATTTACTTCCAAATAGCCTTCAATACCTTAAACCAGTTGAACTAGGTCTCCGAGTTTAACTAGAGATAGCCACCCAATCCTAAAAAAAAGATATTCCATGAACATTCTATGATGATCTGTATAAACAGCAATTAAGTTTGATCTATGATCAATATGGATATCTAATAAATAGTAAACTATAGATTAAAATGCAGGTCTCTCATAGAGTTAAGCGATGGTAGTTTGGTACATTCACCATTATTTTACTTTATTTAATAAAGAAATACATTTGCCCTTGCAAAAACAGCAATTGCAAGTTTACAAATAAAACCACAGACCTCAAAGTAACGATGCTAAATCTTCAACTTGTAACTAACAAAAGTAAATACTGATTTCTTTACAAATGGTCCATGGCACTACAACTAAAATCAAAATATCAAAAGTTCTCAGGATCTTAAAGAATACGTTTACCAAAAATAACTTCATAAATATTCTAAAGAAAATGTCAAAATTTCTAACTTTAAGTGTTCAAAATCTAGTCTCATTGGCAAAAGCATCCCTTAACAAAACAAGGTTATAGGTCACTACAAATGGATATCACATTTAAAATTTTGTTATTTTTGCAAGACCTTTGTTTTAATTACTCGGTTTGATTTTTCACCTCTCTTAGGTATAGTTTTTACTTCAGCTACTACACCATCTAGCTGCTGTAAGCCTGCCGGTCCAGTCAGTCAGTAGTATATTACCCTAGAGACACAAGTGGGGCAGCAATCATTGTGGTAACTAACTTTCAGTTGCAGGAATTTAAGTAGTCAAAATGCAAAACTCATGTTGACCCCCTAAATCACCCCAGCATGAGATACAGTGTCAGAAATTGTCTGCATCAAGTTTTATAAGTTCATCTGTGTACTTCAGGTATCTGAAACTAAAACAATAAAAAAAAAAGGAAAAAAAAGATAATTTTATATTTTGATAAAAATGTACTCAAATATTTCATAACATTAATATTTATTGCTTTATATGAATACTGTATTGAAAGCCCAAGCATTCAGTTTACACACAGAAATTATACAATTATTTACCGCTTCACAAAGGCAGTGAACACATTACATTCTACAAAATCTACTTTACAGAAATTTAAAAATTCTAAATATCAAAAGGTACAGCTGAAGAAACAGGTATAAATTTGGCAGCCAGTAATTTTGACAGGGAAGTTGCAACTTGCATGACTTTAAATATGTGAATTTGAAAATATTGAGTTTAGAGGAATCATTGTGCTTTGTGTTGATCTGAAAATATAACACTGGCTGTCGAAGAAGCATGTTCAAAAATATTTAATTCACTTCAAAATGTCATACAAATTATGTTGGTTTCTATGCACCCCTAAAGCTTCAGTCATTTAGCCCAGGTACATTACTAAAGTAATATATTAATTCTTCCAGTACAGTGGTGTTTCATACCATTGACATTGGCATACCCTAGAATAATTTAGAAATAAATGTGTAATATTCACAATGTTGAGAAAAGCAAGCAAAAGGTCAAGGAACCTGCTCAGTTCTTCTGAGATGGTCTTTTGTCAGCTTTATAAGCATTCATTCTACAAAATAGTGACCTAATGTTCTACCACAATTTCCAAGATAAAGCACATTTTTTCCCATAAATAATGAAGTCTTATTCTCAGGCACCTCAGAAGTATACAAAAGAATTTAAGTTTGAACAGATTTCTTGGAATGTGTTTAACCTGGTACTTCGACAGACTTAAGATTGCCAGAGTTTCACAAGGGCCAGATTTTATATGAATTACTCAGAAGAGAAAAGAAACTGTCTTCTGAAAGAGGTGGACTCAATCATTACCAATAGAAAAAGTATCCACTGTATTCATCTCTTTATAGAAACAGAAAAATATAACATTTCCGTTAGAATAATATATATATATGTATATATATATTTATATATATATGTATATATGACTTAAAGTTCCATTGTACATAGTCAAACAATAAAATCTGGAAACCAGCATGAAACCCTATATAATTCACATGTGAAAATGTTGAAACTATGACCAAAATATGAAAACCACTAGAAGGGTCAGAACGAGACAAGACAAAAAGCTTTCTTGCATATGGATAAACTAAATGTGATAATCTCCAAAAAGTTTTCAAAATTATAATATTATCTTTCAGTTTAAAAATGTTTATTAAAAAAAAAAAATCTATACACAAACCACTGATTTGACCAGACCAAAAAGTCAGCAGTAAGAAAGACCCAGAGGAGCTGATAGTCACAGTTCTAAAATGTACAACTCTTTCAGGATTTATTCCATAAAGTACTTAATTTTACAACCTGCTTCTCTTGTAAAACTATAGGTCCACTTTATTACACAAAAAATTTATACAGTGTAAAACCAGAACTGTTTGTAAAATACTGCATCTAAATGTTTCTAAATAATTAGTCTTGTTCCATAGGTTCATCTGTCACTTGGGTGGCTTCGTCGTTTTCCATGAATGACTCTGAGAGACTCTCTGCAGTTTTACTGGAATTGGATCCCACTACTGCTTCTGCTGTTTCCTGGCTTTCAGAACCACTACTTACAGATCCTGCATTTTCACTACCTTCCGAATGTAAATCTTTCTCAGCTTGAGACAGATCAGCTTCTTCCATTTGATAATTTTCCTCAGAAGTCTCTTCATTCACAGTTAAGGCATCATCAGATTCTTTCTCTTGATTTTTTCTTTCTGGGACCATTTCTCTTGATGTCATAAAAGATTCTAAAAATAAGCAAATGTTGTTGTAGTTAAATTTTATTTTCAAAATACTTCCACAGTTAAGTTTCATGAATTCTGATATTCTACAGTTCAAATCATATCCCCTGAAACTCAGCAGCAAATACATACAGGTGGGAGAAAAGCCCAACATCAGCATTATAAGGAGTTCCATTATGTTAAATTCTTTCATGTAAAAATGAAGTACAAGAATTTGAGGATCTCCTTACTCCACCCTTTACAGATGGTTTCTAAATACCTTCTTCTTCCTCTTCATTGTCGTCTTCATCCTCTTCTGTACAGTGCTGTCTGGTACAACTATTTTCTTTATCTTTATCCTGAGATGAAGATGATGCTTCGGTTTCTTCCACCATAACAGAAGACATTTCACTGGAAGTTGTCTGACTGGACTGACTGGCTGTCTCTCTTACTTCCCCTTCTTTGTCAAATCTGAGTCTTTTCACCTCATGCCCCTCTGCCTCCACAGCATCTTCATCTGGATGTTTATTTTTTATAGGGCTCAGCGAGGAATTTTCTGTTTCAGATGTTGGTGAGTCACTGCAAATGTTTTTAAAGTGTCATCAGTAAGATTATTTGCCTTATTTGTTACATTCTATTTTTAATGTCTATTATTTAAGTGTCATTTCAGTGCCAAAGTTAAATTACAACATCTAAACAAATAAATAATAATTTCAAGGGCACCTAAAACTGTTCTATAAATATTTACCAATTAAGAGATAGTCAACATTTGCTACTTTTTAGTTCAATTCTCCCTATAAACATACGTCACTCTCATACTCTAAGTTCTCTTGCTTCCACCGTTTCCTTTCCCTTAGTGTGATGCACACAGTTTGAAACAGGACATAAACTATCTGTAATAATAAACCACAAAACTCTCAGCTCAAACAATTTTCAAAAATACGAAATAGAATGTGGCATGATTATTTATACTAGAGAATCTCCCTAAATTAGCTGTTTGAAACCTTTTTATGCCCATCTTCAGCAAGTGCTCAAGATGCAAATAGAAGCCATGGCTCCTATAACCTCATGAAAACCTTGTTTTCTCCCCCTCAAATAATAGTAAATAGTATATAATGCTGAAAACTACTAATGTCAATTAATTATTACTTTAAAAAAATATATAATCACAGACAAACCTGTGGTTTTTGCCCTCATTTTGCTGTAGGTTTGACTCTTTGCTGTCAGTGTTCTCAGGCAAACCATTTGTTGTCATGGGGGCTGACAAAGAAACCTTTGGCCGATTAAGTGGCCTGGGTGTTCCAGGCCCATTTATATTAGACCTATGGCAAGATAAATGATCATTAGTTTACCATTTTGATAGTCATGAGAACGTACCTTTTCAAATTCATGGGGTACCAACTTAACTACACCCACTATCCACTTATGTCAGGTTCCAAAGACCAAGTCGCTGTGTGAAATTGGCATTGTGGACGACAGCCACACCACATCATTTAATGATGTCTACAGATTATGCTTCGTGGTTGTTATGTTACTGAGTTTGTTCTGACTCATAGCAACTCTGTATGGGACTTCCAAGGCTGTAAATCTTAATGGAAGCAGAAAGCCTCATTTTTCTCCTAGTTACATAACAATACAACATGTCAAAATATATTACACAACTTCTAAGCCACTGACAACTAGAACCCAGTTAAAGTAACGCATAACCTTAAGCATCACAGCCAGTGAGCCTCACACCTCATACCTCCATGGTCACCACTGCCAGATGTACATTTCTTAAGGCACAAAACAGATTCCTTACTATTAACATGAATGCAAACCACTGTGTAACAAGAGTCAATAAATGAGCAGGTGTGCTTCTGTCTAATACACCAAACATCCTGCATAAAATGCCTAATTTCAAATATATACTGAACCTACTTACTACTCAAAATTAAGGAGCTCTGGTAGCGTAGTGGTTACGAATCGGGCTGTGAACCTTAAGGTCAGCGGTTCGAAACTACCAGCTGCTCCGTGGGAGAAAGATGAGGCTTTCTACTCCCGTAAAGATTTACACCCTCGGAAACCCTGTACAGGGTCGCTATGGGTCGGAACCGACTCGATGGCACTTAACAACAACAACAACAACAACTACTCAAAATTAGGAAAGCACAAAATCTTCAGATTAAAAGAAATCATCTTACCTCTCTGTATAACTTGGTGAATTTGCAGGAAACATGACACCATTCATTCGATTTAAACTATTGGAATTGTTTTTCCTATTAATAAAAAAGAAAGAAGAAAGAGGCACTGTGTTATTGCTGGTTTATGCTTTCTAACTTTGTCAAGTATTATGGGGTTTAAGATACTTTGTAGGGCAGCATTTGTCCCAAAACAAAGTTCAGAAGGGAGAAAAGAAAAATGAACAAAAACGGGGAACCCAGGCAGGAAATGGGAAGAATGTTGTTACACCGAGGACACTGCATTTAACGTTATGAAACAAAATGTTTATAAATTATTGAATGGAAAACTAATTTGCTTCATAATTTTCACCAAGATCACAATTAAAAACAAACAAAAAAAGAAAATCTTTGTTAAGATTCTCATATTCACAGAACCAAACAAAGTTTATGAGAAATAACTTAAATATACACCATAAATGTTAAGAAGGAAAAAAAAAAAATTGCAAATCTTACGAATCAATATGCTCTGACTGTATTTCTTTATAATTTTTCCAAAATGACTTTCATACATTAGCAATACAAAAGAACATTTGAGTAAAGTTAAACAGTTTCTTATTACATAGCTTTTTAAAATGTTTATTTCTGACAAGAAGCAGTACTATGGGGTTACTGTACTGTCTTATTGGGGGAAAAAACAGGTATGCTCTTAAAAGAGATCTAAAAAAAAGTTTATTAGTGGTTACCAAGGGCAGAAGGAAGGGGGAAAGAGGAAATTTTTGTTTAGGAAACAGTGAGTTTGTTCCTGCATATGTTGATGGAAAACTTGGCAACTGATATTCATGATGGTTCACAACATGATTAATATAATTCGTGTCACTAAACTATACACGTGAAAAATATTTTTTGAAAATAGAAGAAAAGGAGGAAAAAAACAAGATGATGGATCGGGTGGAAGTGCAGTTAAGAGCTCCGTCAGCAACAACACAGAATACAGGACCAAGCAGGCTCAGGAGATGTCCCAGAACTCTGAACCACATATAAAGGAATATTCAGAAAGTTGGAAGGCTTACAGCTAGAGGAATTTGTAGCAGAATCAAGAAATCCATTGCTTTCTAATTCAAGATGCTCAGCTGCTCTCAGAGCCACCATCTTGGGTGAGACCAAGCGGGGTAAGGATCAGAGCAGAGATAAAGGTGTGGACATTCTTTTCTTTTAGTATCTGTTCATTGGTCACTTGCTGTCTGTGCACCTCCATTCTGGTGACTATAGGGGTGCCTGAGCTAGTGGACACCCCAGCCCCACCTTTGGAGGGTTCTATTATGCATGTGCACAGATCTACTCTAAATTTTAAGGCAGTTTCCACTAAAACCAAACAGCCACAGCCAGCCCTGAACTGGTTATAACTAGAATAAAGGCCCAAACGGGGACTGTGGAGCAGGACAGGCACAGAAAAAAGGAAACAGGCTGAAAATTAAACCCTAAGTTACGTCAAAACAACTAACAGTGGCATCTTGAAATTTCTCAAGAAGAGTGAAAAGACAAGCCCCATTTCCTGATCACATCTACCTGAAAGCAACCAGAAAGCATACAAAGTGCCAAAATACACACCCATCTAAGTATTAGGGTCACAGAAAGTTCCTGAATATGCCCCCAAAACAGAAGCAGATGGCCATATCTGCACATGTCCAGAAACAAGATAAAGTGACTGAGGCAAATGAGCTGGAAGTAGACCTACACTCCATACTGGAAAATAGGCAGGCTGTGGAAATGCTGGAGAAGGAATTCAGAAAAATGACTATAAAATATATCAAAACACTATACAACTGAGTTGAGAAAATAAAAAAGTCAGGAAAGTGCTACAGGAACAATCAAATAAGATAGATACAGCACTGGAAACAATTCAAAAACTATAGAAAGAGGTCCAAACGATAAATAATAGGATATCAGAAACTGACAATACACTGAAAGGGCAAAGGAGTAGAACTGAAGAGATAGAAAGCTACAACTAGTAAGATAGAAGGCAAATCTCTCAACACTACTAAGATAGAAGAGCAAACACAAAAAAGGATAAAAAAAATCTGAAGAAGGCCTAAAATTCACGATGGACAACATGGATAGGAATAACTTAAGAATTATTGGCATTCCGGAACAGGAACAATCACACAAGTCCACAGAGGAGAAAGTAGAAGAGCTTCTTAAAGAAAAATTCCCTAATATCCTGAAAACTGAAAAGATAAGCATCCAAGAAGCTCAACGAACCCCAGGAAGGACAGACCCTAAAAGACAACCACCAAGACATAATAATCAAGCTCTCCAAATCGCAAGATAAAGACAGCATCTTGAAAGCAGCTAGGTAAAAGAGAAGTGTAACATACAAACGCAAGCAAATCAGATTAAGCTCGGATTTCTCAAAAGAAACCACGCAAGCAAGAAGGCAGTGGGGTAGACATATATAAAGCCCCGAAAGAAAAAAACTGCCACCCAAGAATCCTCTACCCAGCAAAGCTGTCAATCAAATATGATGGTGTAATCAAAACATTCCAGGATAAGCAGAAGCTAAGGGATTTTGCCAAAGTCAACCCTGCTATGAAAAACATCCTAAAGGAAGTTCTGTGGACTGAGAACCAACAAGAACACATAACAACTACAGAATGATATACACGGGAGCATTAACCTGAACTCAGTCGACAAATGGAAAAGTCAAGAACAGAATGAAACTGTAAGAACAGAGAATCTGGGAGGTCAGTCTATGATCAAAACAATTACTATGTGAAAGAAGGTAAACACAGAGGAACAGACATCCCGGTGATGGGAAGGTCAGGTAGACTACATGATAAAATAGACTGTCTTAAATGGAGAGTATACCTAATGGATTATAAGGTAATCACAATGGGGTTGGGGTGGGGGTTTACTTTGGGTGTTGGGGAGGGCAATACAAAAAGGGAGGAGGAGGAGGAAGAACAAGATAGATAGGGGAACACTCAGACAGCTTTGCATGGCCTAGTGGGACAGAGGTAAACAGTGATGCATGCTCAACCCTGGAACAACAGGGCTCTGGGATACAGGGATCTAGGTATAGCTTGAAAAGGGTAAATAATATTAAAATCCTTGACTGTCTTATGAATATTAGTTTCCCTTGCCTACTGTTGTAAAACAGACTCTTGAGTGGGATAGAAAGGAATGTTGGGAAATATGATTAGAGAAAACTTTTAAGTCCATCTTCGGTCTATAACTCATTGGAATACCTAAAAGCAGTTCTAGAATTTGCCCAGTGAAATAGGCCTCTTGCAGAGTATAGGACCTTAGGTGGAATCCTGAGTCCCGTCCAGAACCTTATGAGGTAGAACATTCCCACTAGATAGGACAAGCAGACTGAAACAGCTACAGCGACAGAAGATATATCTTCAAAGAAAGATCCTCATGAAAAACCCAAAACAAAAATGTCAGCGTGACTGGCTACTACAAGAACAATAAGCAAGCTGTTCAGCAGGAAGACATCAAGGCTAGCAATCAAGTACCTACAGGACAAACTCCCCTCTAAGACTGAAACTCAAATGGAATATACAAACAAGCATGTAAGCTTGCTGGCGACCATGACCACACTGGTCTACTGTTGAGGAGAAGAGGTGGAAAGGCATCAACAAAGAAGTGGGCTGAGTTCAACCCCAGTCCATTGACTCCCGATGACCTGGAGATGAGAGAGAGAAGAGGAAGGGTTGGTTGGTCCAAAGTGTGGTGAGACCTGAGGACACTTGAGCCCATGGATAAGGACATAGCCACAGAGGGCAAGAGCTGAGAGTGAAGCATCCAGCGGATGTGAAGTGAGGGGAGATGCACAAGAACACCCTTCTGACCTAGCCTGGACAATCAGAACTCAACTGGGGGGGGGGGGTGGATTTTTTTTTTTTTGGATAAAGGAAACAAGGGTAAAATTGCTTCAATTTCATGAACCTGACCTATACTCAGAACGGTAGTTACTCTAAATAACAACAGAGAGGAAAAGAGTCTTCACTTCAAGCATCAATGTCATCCCCTTTGTACACAGGGTAGATAGGGACGGGCAACTTAGACACTGGCTACCTAAAATTAGGGGCAATAAAGGCATGAAGTGACTGGCTTACAAGGTTTAAAGAAGGGGTTTAGTTTAAGAGTATGGGGGGAAAGAAAGAGTCCCCACTGAGTGGCTGTCATCTTGTCTAGATGGGTCTAGTGAAGAGAGATGGGGATAAGATTCGAAAGATGCAATAGTGAATAACTGTTATCATGACTAATTGCCACTGTCACAATGTAAAGGTACAAGTTTTGTAACAAAAACAGGGAGTGGTTAATCTCACAGTCCAGAAACAGAGGAACCTAGAACCATCAAGAGAGAAGGGCACAAGCAGAATGTGGGACCTTATTCAGAGAAGCAGCAGCGCCAGAGATGGAGGCAGAGATGGGGGCATGGAGAGGGGGAGCCGACTGCGGACTCTAGATTCATGGACTTGGAAAAGAGGGAATAAGAGCTGGTGGCCAGGAAACAGATTTGCAGAATGTGCCCTTTGGAGATGTAAATTATTATATATGCATCAGGGTTTTTTTTGTTTGTTTTTTAAAAAGCTAAAGTGGATAGAGAGAAATACTGTTAACTGATGGTACATGGCGGGGATTATAATCATTGCAATGAAACAAGGTGTATGATTTGTTGAATGTAAAACTGATGATATGCCCTGCAAACTTTCACTCAATCCACAGTAAAAACCTTAAATAAATTTTAAAAAAGAAAAAACAAAACAAACAAAAAAGAGATCTAAAAATGAATTTGTGTTATTACTCTTTTACTTTTGGAAAATCTGAGTATGTCTAACTTAAAATCCTTGATTCCCAACAGGACCATTCTTCACTCTTCAGGAGACATTCTGTAATGCTTGAAGGCACTTAGAGGTGGGGGGAGACGCTATACAATGCACAGGGCATACTCCAAACAAAGTAGTCTTAATTGCCAGTACTGCCAAGGTTTTCAAATTTGCCTAAAACGAGTTCTTAATTTCTTATATAAATATTGACTACTTTACTAAAAAGAAATGTCATCAAGTAGCCATTCCAAACTTAGGAAATCATACCTTTCAGATTCAAGGCAAATATATCTAGAATAAATCCCAGAACTCCAGTGTCATGGACAATACATAAACTCAGCAATTTTAAGATTGTAGTAAATTACCAATCTCTTTAATCCAAATCTCTTCACTGAAGAATCACATGGTACTGATGTTGGTAATATTCTATTCTGGTATTAAGTAAGTTCATAAGCATTTATTAATTACATATAAACTGAATAAAATCTATTTTAATTTATTAGAAATAGTATAATTAGGATAAGAGACATATGAAAAATAAAATTAAAAGCAAAACACCTCCATACTTACTCTGAAGAAGGATAAACACAGCTAACAACCATCACATTCTGAAATAACAAACATTGGTGATTTAATATGAGAAACAATATTACAAATCTCTTAACTATTTGTTCTTAAATTTCTCAAAACCATCTCATGGGCTAGGTTTCCATTTATTTTGATTCACTAAGAAAATGGTTAAAAAATTTAAATTCTGATAAACATTTTTAAAAATGATCAAAATATCCTATACTAAAACCATCTTATTTTTTTAACCCTAATTTGTCACTTTGGAGTCCTAGCATCCTGCACTAATCTAACAGAATGGAATCATGCTCTTTTAGAAGCACCCACAGATGTTAAGGCATTCAAGTATTTATGTCAAGAAAATCTGATCTTAGTGATTTTCCTTATAAAGTAGTACCCAAATCAAACCTTAATGTACAGCACCAAATACTTCCAAAAAGGAGACTCAAACCTTTTGTAGTAAAATATTCATCCTCTTCCTGGTAGTGCTAACTTTGATAATAATCAAGATTCACTGAAGAACTTTGGTGAGCTACCGTAAGTGTACTTATGTTTGTTTAATCCCATAAAGACTTACAGCCTCGGAAGCCCTCCCTATACAGGGTCACTATGTGTCGGAACCAACTCCACGGCACCTAACAGCAAGAACAATATCCCTCACACTCACATTTACCAGGTGAGGAAACTGAAGCTTAGGTTAAGTAACCTACCCAAGGTCACAGCTATGAAGTATGAGAGTACAGCTATGACTGGAATCCAGAATCCCTATTACTAATAACACATGGTCTCTTCATCCAAAGCTCACCAAATAAATACTAATGGACTATCTCTGTCCTGCCCGTTAGCAATCTTGCTCAATCAAAGGCACAGAGGATCAACAAAATAGATTACTCTACTAAGGTCCTAAGATTTATTACAAATCCCTGCTACAAGGACAAGACAAACTGAATACGAATCAGAATCTAAAATGCATATGCATAGTGCAATCAGCACTGGTCCAAACCTGGATCCCTCACAGCTTCTTCTTTCAGACAAGTCAACTTCTAACTTTTTATTCCATCAAACACATTGTTGTTTATGCCCTTCCCCCTTCCCTTATTATTGTTAAGTGTCCTGAGTCAGTTCCAGTTCTTAGTGACCACTCCAGTATAGGGTTTCTAAGGAGCAGCTAGTGAGCTTGAACCACTGGATCTTGTGGTTCAAACAGACTGCAGCCCAGAACATTAACTCACGGCGCCACATTGTTGTGTTGCTGTTAAGTGCCGTCGAGTCGGTTCCGAACCATAGCAAGCCTGCACAGGGTTTCTAAGAAATGACTGGTGAGCTTGAACCACGGACCCTGTAGTTCAAATGGCTTTGCAGTCTGGAACATTAACCCTCAGCGCCACACCAGGACTCCCATTTCTCCTCATTTATAAAACAATGAAAACTACTCTCTCTTTAATGTGACCTGAATCCTCCTACAGAAAACCTAATGTATGTGGCTTTTGTATCAACAGTTTTCCAAAGCTGTATGCCTCTAAAATAACTCCAAACTGAAGAAGTTAGTTAATTCCACAGGCAAATAAATTTGCATAAACACACAGAAAGGTAGACTTTTTCAGAACCTTGAATACACTGGTGTGTACTATTAAGTTCAAAGATAGGAATATGTTGTTTTTTGACACTTAACTGATCAAAACCAGCCATCCTCAGTCCCCCTCCTATTCATCTCTAAACACACCACACAACTTAACAAATTTATCTGCAGAAAAGGAGCCCAAAACAGACCTTACCCAATGTAGCTTTTGCAATCTTCTAGTCTATAATTTAATGTTATTCCAATAATAAATACCTTTTCTACTCCTCTGAGAAATTTGTCTGTTCCTGTATAATTTCTCCTTGGATCAGTTAGCAATTCACATAGTCGTTGAATAGTAAAAGGGATACTGCAAAAGAATATAATTTTATAGTCTGCAGTCATTAATCCAAAAAGTGAAATCATTATTCTTGCTATTTAAAACTTTATTTAATCACTTGTGTATTAAACTACAAAAGAGAATAGCACAATAGGGAAATCAATGGTTGAGGAGAGTTCCTTAACAATGTAAGACAATAAAGCACACCTGTTTTTTTTATTTTAAAAGAAAGTTACTTTGTCGTCTTTGTCTTAAAAGTGCAATGAAAAGACATCTAAAATTACAGAAAACTTCAAAAGTTATTACTGAAAATAAAAATACAAAAATAATTTTTAAAATAATAAAATCTATTTTTAAACTTAGAACAGAAGAAACAAGTAATAATCAAGTTAGTTTATTTAAACACAGGAATCCCCCTGCCCAAATGTTCTGCTATTAAACCGAGTAAGACAAACGATCCCAATGAAACTGTTTATTTCAAATGTGTTTTTAATTCATAACAAAATTTTATACATAACCTAAATGTTTTTATCAAGCTTAAAATACACACAATCAATCAATTATTTTGGGCTAAGTATCATATCATTAATTTTATCAAATTTTTACTTGATCACAGCAAATAATTGATACATATTAGAATTAGGACCATCTTATAAATTTAAAAAAAAACAATTTTAATTGCATTTAACAGAATCACAAACTTAAAAGTATGACATTAAGATAAACAAAACACAAAAGCACAAACATAAATCTTCCGTTTCTGCTGTATTCCTTATACAGACTCTTTAGACAGTGCGTCTGATTATGAGTTAGCCTTCACAGTCCTGTACTGCTGGTGGCACATGGAGGTGGCACCCTGCATAAGGTGACCAACTCTTGAGTAAACAGGACACACACCCAGCTTCTCTAATTTCAAATTCTGTTTCTTCCACCACTATAACACGTTCTTACCAAAAACCACACATATTTACTTCCCAATTAGATAGCTACATTGGTTGTCAATATTCTTATCATCAGTCATTTTTATAAAAACCAAAATGTACACATAACACATTTCAAAAGACATAAAGTAAAAGTAATTTGTAAGAAAACAAGCACTTGTTATTTGCTCAATTAGCTGTAGGATAAGCAATAGACCACAGATCAGCTTGAACCACAAAGTCACTAGTTCAAACTCACCAGCCGATCCTCAGAAACCCTGGATGGGGTCGCTGAGTCATAACCAATTCAACAGCAGCAGCCACAGCAACTAAGAAACCTATTGTTTTTCTAAAGACAGGACATGAACTAAAAATGAAATGTCTGTCCAGTATCACACATATTCTTAAAAAGCTAGAAATAAAAAACTTCTTGGATGCTCATCATGACAATTACAGAAAATTCCTTAGATTTTTCTGAAACAATCTGCTTTTGCTTGCTTTTGAAAATATAGTCAGGGTGAAGTATTATGTCAAAACTAAGAACCTTTATAACGAGAAAAAGTACAGGAACACCAACAGAACAAATAACGAACAGTAAGCGTCCACTTCTCTATGGTTCACATTAATAAAGACGGCACAAAACTGAAAATACAACAACAAAAATCATATAGCTTCATTATATAAACAAAGATGGAAGCATTTTTACTGCATCACGTATTTAATTTTAAAAAACAAAACAAAACAGTTTCTTAATTCTGAAAGTCTAAGACGTCAGGACCTCATCACATATACGTGGGTTACTATATGTTGGTAATACACATACGTATGTGACATACAGTGCAACACCAAGGATTTTATAAAAGTGGTGTACCTGTACCTTAACCATTCTTCCACTTCATTATTCTCCAAACCTAAAACACACATTGTTGTTGGTGTTGTTAACTGTTACTGACCATCAGTGACCCTATATAGAATTTCCAAGGAGCAATTGGTGAACTTGAACTGCTGACCTTGCAGTTCAACCCAATTTTGCAATCCAGGGCATTAATCCACAGCGCCAACACAGCTATATTATCCCTCATTAAAGATCTTGCAAAGTCTTGCCCTCACGCCTCCAAAACACCAGTTATCATTGCGCCAATTCTGACTCATGGAGTCCCTATGTGCTCCATCAGAAGTAGACGGCTAGTCCTTCCTTTTCAGGTGCCCCAGGGTGGACTTGAACCACCAACCTTACAGTTACTTGCTGAGCACCTAAGCATCTATGCCACTTAGCTCAGACTAATACTGTAATTAAAACAGTATATACATTACCCAACAATAAACAAAATAGCACCAGTGCTTGAGTAGTCAAACAAAACTGATAAATATTTAAACAGATGTTGTTGCTGTAAAGTGCTGTCCAGTCAGTCCCAACTCATAGCGACCCTGTATAGGGCTTCCAAAGTGCAACTGGTGAGTTTGAACCACTGACCCTGGGCTTCAAAACAACCTTGCAGTCCAGTGCTTCAGCCCACAGTGCTTTTGCTCCAGTTAAAATACTTTCCTATACCAAAAAGCCAGGGTGTGCGGTGGCACCATAGCATGATAGGCACTAGACTGTGAACTACAAGATCAGCAGTTTTACTTCACGAGAGAAGGCCTTCTGTTCCTGCAAAGATTTGAAAAGCCTTGGAAACCCTGTGAGAAGCTCAACATGAGTTGGAACCAACTCAACAGCACTTCACATGAATAACATAACAAGACCTAATTTTTTCTTAAATTAAAATTAGCTTAAGCAAAACAGTACCTTTAAACTCCGCAATTAATAGCGGTTGGACTAGACGATTTAGTTAAATTTCTTTAGGGCGTTATTTTGCACAACTGTAGTCAATTATTAATATTGTGAATGTTGGCATAGATTAATACTATTTTTAGGGGGAAAACAGCATTTTTCAGATACCAGTGCTTGTGATGGTATCACATGCATTCTCAGAAAACTCTTAAAAGTTATTTTATCAGGTGTCCAACAGATGGCACTAAAATATCATGTAACACTCCTGGGTCCTCACAAACATTACTTGTAAACAAAAAGCATCCATTATAAACATTAATATTAATTTTTTTGCAACCACACTGGGACAATGTTATGTAAAGATCTCTATAATGCTGGATACTATGTTGCTAGTATTTCGAACACCAGCAAGGGCACCCACAATAGACAGGTTTGAGCAGACCTTTCAGACCAAGACAGACAAGGAAAACCGGCTTTATGATCTACTTCCAAATATCAGCCAGTGAAAAACCTAAGGTTCACAACAGAATAGTGTGCCCTACAATACTAGACGATGGGCCCTCCAGATCGAAAGGCACTCAAAAATTCATAGAATCCACAACAGTGGATTTGAGCAGACCAGCAATTGTGAGAAGGATGAAGAACTGGCAGCATTTGCTTTTGTTATACATGCAGTCTTCTCCACATATTTGTCAGAGACACTTCAATTTATAACAACTATTAGCTAGAAATATACTCAACTTGTTATATGAGCAGAGCTGTGTACCAGGACGATGTGGTGATAGGAATAGACAGTATGTCAGGGAAAAAAGCATGAACCTGGGAACACTTATTTTGAGTTACACATAATAAAGCAGAAAAAGCATTCCAAAATTAATGCAATTAGTACAACTATATCAAAGTTTTGCTCTGTTATTCTTCATCAGACATCACATAACAGAATTACTTTCCTTGAATGTCCATATATAATAAAGCTTTTCCTGATGAAAATCACTGGGTAAATTAAGGTAGGCATGCTAATGAGGAGTCCTGGTGAGGCACTGCCGGCTAATGGGGTGAACTGCAAGGCAGGTTTGAACCCTAAAGTTGGTGATTCAAACTCACCAGTCACTCCCCGGAAACCCTACATAGGGTTGCTATGGGTCAAAACTGACTCATTGGTACTTAATAACAACAACAACATGCTAATGAGGAAGGTACTTACTAGAATGAATAGCAAAAATGAGGGGGAATTATTTTACACAAACGACTCATGCTCACTGAAAAAAACTAAACCATAATCCCTAAATTAAGGACAAGGGTGGTTGTTTCTGCTAGGTGCAACCAAATCAGTTCCAACCCACAGTGGCCCAGCGTACAACAGAATGAAACACTGCCCGGTCCTAAGCCATCATCACAATTCTGGCTACACTTGCGCCCACACTGTTGCTGCCACTGTGCCAGCATGTTAACTAGGACATCAAACCAACTGCCATGGAGTCGGTTCAGACTCATAAGGAACCCATGCAGGGTTTGTGAAGAGTGGCTGCTGGGCTTGAACCACTGATCTTAGTTAGCAGGTCAGTGCTTATCCTATAGAGCCATACAGCAACCCTGCAGAGCAGGAAAAAAAAACTGCCCCATAGGGTTTCCACAACTCTCAGTGTTTACCAGAACACTTTTATCTTTCTCCTGCTGGTGGGTTCTAACTGCTGATCATTCAATTAGCAGCCCACTGACTTACAAAAACAGACTGTAATTACCATAGAGTGTTTATTTAGTCAAAAAAAAAAAAAAAACATTAGAGAAAAACATTTTGGATTAACTTCAAATAAAATGTTCTCAGTTTCCTCTCCAATGAGCTTGATGTTACTAAGTGCTGTCAAACCACTGGCCTCATAGTGGCCCTGACTGTGTAGGGTCTCCGACGACTGGCCAGTGGATGGGAACTGCAGACTTGATGATTAGCAGCAGTCTAATGACTTACCTATATTTAAAAATGAGTATAACTGTACAAAAAAGTGAAAAACCTTTTATTTAAAAGCTAGCATATTTTGGATTCCTTGAATGGTGCCAGCCATAAAGATACTCGCCAGCTAATCAGAAGGGTGAAGTTTCAACCTCAAAAAAAAGACTGGTCATCCGCTTTAGAAAAAGTCAGCCACTGAAAACCCATGGAGCACAATTCCACTCTGATACACTCGGAATCTTCATGAATCAGAATCAACTTGATGGCAACTGTTAACGCTTTGGCTTAGCTAGTGTTTTCATTTTTTAAGAATATTTGACTGTAGATTATAATCATTGCAATGAAATGAAATACGATAGTATGATGATAAAACTGATGTTCTCCCATG